GTGGATGCAAGAGAAAGACGCTTAAGTCACTCGGATGAAAAACGTAATGGAATGGACAGCCTGAGTTTTTAGAAAATTTAAATTTAAATTGCTCGGTAATAATGAAAAGTATTTTTCTGTCGGCCTAGCATTGCTGAGAAACCAAACCCAATTGTATTCGATAGATATAATCACCATTGATAGTTATGGTACAAAACAGCTTTGTATACAGGGTACCACCCACGCCAACTGGTATAGTGGTTATCATAAATGACAAATCATGTGGCTGTCAGTATTTACAGAATCAATAAAATCTCGCTTAAATTTAATATAAAACTTTGGAAGCTTGTTAGCTTATATTCTTAATAATTTTGTATTTTGTTTGCTTAAGGTTTCATTGCTAATTTGGATTTTCAATTCCATTGGTGTAATCAGGTTGACAGTAGGACTAACATTTTACGAGAAACGGTAGACTTGGCGGAATTAAGTTTTAAGAAGGTGAAGTAACCTGAAAAGCCAAATATTTCGAATACAATTGAGAATGTGACTGAAAATAAGGACTTTTAGTCTAACTTGATATGTCGGAACACCTTGTGTATACAACATTAAGATTACTTGCAATTAAAAAATCTACAATATATATAAAAGAATACCCCGAGTTTCCTCCAAAAATTGGAATAGGATACTCAAGGATTCCCTTCCGTGTTCGGGCATAAAGCGGGGAACACACTTTATCCGATGCAACGCTATCCTATGCTACCCGACGCAAATACAAAGTCCAATTTTCCATAAAGTTGTATTACCCCCTTGCACATCTGCCAAGCAACGCTACCCTATTCTACGCTCTGCGATCCCCACTGTCCAGATTTTCGTCGGGTATCAGCGAGTACAGTCGGAGACAAAAGAACCGGACACTCATATTTTTATTCGGGGGGACCGCGGTAGCCGAGTGGTTAGCATGAGAGACTCTCACGCCGCGGTCGTGGGTTCGATTCCCACCGTTGCCCCTGGCCCTTTTTTCCCAATAACCCCCCAAATTTGAACACACATATACGAATTTGTCACATGGCTAATATGCATAGTTCATAACGAAAAAAAAAAAAAAAAAAAAAAATATTTTTATTCAAACTACATGTATTATCGCCGTATGTATTATATTACATGTATTATATTAATTGCAATGTACTTATTTTAATATAAACTAAATTAACCGAGATCAAAAATTCATTAGTTTTTAGTTAAACTTTTTTTAATGGTTTGGTAGAAAATTGATCAAAACACCGGAATACCATTTTTTAGTATAATGAATTTAACTAACAATTTATTACCCGGTTTTTCTCATAAAATTCAACTAACAATTTATTTCATCGTTTTGCTCATAAAATTACACCATTTTCGTCGAATAGCGTCAGAACAAGACACTCATTTTTTATAGTTTATTGCATATTAATACAAAATGCTTATTTTATTGTAAACCAAATTAAACTAGATCAAAAATTTATGAGTTTTTATAAGAATTGTTTAATTATGACGGTTGAAATATTGATAGTAATATAAAATAAACAAGACTTTTTGGGGACACAATTGAAAATAAGAAAAAACAAAAATTGAAATAAACTTTTTTTTATAACACTAAGTAAATATTACGTAAACTTTAGACTAGAACTTTGCAAATTCGAAATGGTTATATTCTAAATAAATTTGTATTTTGCTTAATTAATAATCTAATAGCATTTTTCAATACTCTTGTCATTGGTGTAGTCAAAGTGACAGTAGGACTGAAATTTTATGACGTACGGGGACTTTATGGAAGTTGTGAAATGTTGAAGGCAACCTTAAAAGTGAAATATCTCTAATAACATAGAGAATCAGACTCTGAACAATAACGACTTTTTAGTCCAAGTTGACATGTATGTTGAACCTCCTCAAGTATGTTGACGTCGGTAAAATTATTCGCACTTTCGAATCATGTTTTATTAATTTAGTAAGTAAAGCAATTTTGCATGTGTATTAGACTAACGGGTGAAATGTGTTTGACAAGTTAATAACTCTTTCTGGCATTGTAGGAATAAAACAACTTGGTGAGCAAAGGGAATAACAACGGGCTGAAATAATTATTACCCCAGTTCAGGACTGTCGGGGTCAGTTGGTAATGAACCTTGGAAACAGTGTGCGAAGTTTGGTTAATTTAAAAAAAAATCTTTAAAAAAGAGCGGAACACTGCTGAGAAATAAAAAAAAGTAATCGATTAGCTCCACGGGTAGGACATTTTCAATTCATATAGTTACGTCAGTAATTGTTATAATTAATTAAAATTATAATCACTAGATTTCGTGGTCCGATTAACCAAATAACATCTTTCAATTAATTAATGTTTATGTAAGGTATTGGTTGAGATAAAAAAGTCAGTGTGACGAGCGGGATTCGAACCTACGACCTTCGGCTAAATACGCCGCTGCTCTACCACTTGTGCTATCGTGACGTCGATCCACACACCATTTCCCATCTCAACCCAACCTTACGAATTTTCCCTCCTTTTTCCCTTTTTTGCGTGTCGTATGACCTATTTGATTCTCGGTGACAAATGAATTATTTAAAATAATATTTTGATGGATATTAGGACGAATGCAGACGAAGTGAAACACTTTCCTAATTATAATATGTAGAGTTCCAATATTCGTAGAGGTCATTAGATGGTGAAAAAAGGACTAAATCCTGTGTTCTCCGAGCTTTCGGCAATTTATAGTGCCATCAACAGGGCCTATTTTATTACAAATTAAAAAAAATACAATTAACAATTAATGTAATAAAATGGTATACTACTTTCCCAAGGATGAAGAAACGATAAATACGAAAAACTATTGTACATGTGTTTGGGGTTTGGGGTTAAGCCTATGGAGGAGCACATGGCACCTAATAAATTTTGACGGTGAAACAGACATCCATATAAAGATTACATGTAATTACTATAGCTGTGAAATATATGCATTTGCATATTTTTCCTGGTTAACTAAAACATCCAGTTTTAACAAACTGTATATGTTTTGAAGCATTTAGAATCAATTTAAGCTATATTTATTTAGCATGTTTGTGCATATCTTTCCATAAATGCATATTTTCGCATATGTGGGTTATAATTGCATATTTTTTAAATATCGGTATTTGGTAAGTCAAATTTTAATGTAATTCTTCCGTCTCCACATAACGAACGAATTTGTGTTTGTTCAGTTGCTGCTCCGCCGCTTTCCGCGAACTTTCGGTCGCCTTTGCTTCTCTTGGTATAAATACAGAAAGGAATAGTGTTTGTACCACTGTAAATGTTCTATTGGAATAGTTTAATATTGGATTCATAGAAATATTACGACCTCAGTTCTCTTCTTTCCCTACCATCATACTTCTCAGTTTTACCCAGTCTCTCATGCGTTTTCCATCGTGAAACATTATTGGCGTGTTGTGAACGGACTACTCCTAAAATGCTGAAAGTCGCCGCAAAGACGAAAGATCTTGTTCGAAAGTATGTGCTTGAGTTTTCAACAGAGACTTTTAAGGGCTTTGCAGACGTTTTGTAACGTGTTTGTTGTGATGAACCTGTATCAACAGCTACACGTTTTTTTGGTAACACAGCACATAAAGACAGCAAAACACAAGGAAAACAAAGATAGGAAGTCTAAGTTTCAACATACCTTCGTGACACAAGCTGCCACAAGAGCTGGGTCTGGAAAGTCCCGGTTCGATACCGGTTTATGTCGTGCTTTAGTTAGAGCTGACATACCCATCTATTAACTAAGCCACCCTGAATTCAAGGGTTTTTTGAGAACACAGGGAAAGCCATTCTACACGAAAGTACCCTCAGGAAATCTCACCTGGATCTTATACAATGAAACACTCCATAAAATCATCGAAAATGGACCGATCTGGGTCTCGATGGATGAGACGACGGATTTTTTAAATTTAACTTTTTTAATGCGTTTTTCTTTTTTAATATTAGCAATGTGATGTTCCTCTTGCCACTGTCTCTTTTTTCAATACAATCACGTGCTTTAATTTGAGGCTATTTTTTCTCAATTGTGGTTTTCGCACTTTTCAGTTTTAAATTGCATTTTTTACAAAATATGTTTGCATATATATGTGCATATTTGTCTGTTTTTATTGCACATAAATCACGCCCTATTTACTTTCACATAATATTTATATTTGACAATGAAACTAATAAATTATAGTAAAGTTAAAAATACCTTGCTAAAAACCCATATAACTAAAGGTCCAAATTCTATGTTCTGACTAGCAAACAAATCAATTCAGGTACTTTTGTGATCACCGGAATATTTACAAAATTTTTTTGTTTTTCTTAATTTTTTTAAACTAAATTAAAACTATTTACAGAACTATATACCGTGGAATAAAAATTAAAGATAATTAATTTATCACCCGTCTAACAGCCTCTTCGAAGATTGGAACCCTACATAGATTATCTGCAGGTCGATGAACGAACATCATATCTAATTAAAATAATTAATTTCTTACATTTATAAACGAACCTATGAGCCAGTGAATGTAATCTTCTGAATGCAATCTCCCGGGATGTAACAATTTGAAATGCACAGATTTGTAGTCCGATGAAAGTGACAGGCAATCAATGCTCAATTCAGCAATAATGTATGACATCATCTTTTATTAGGACGAACACTCAGTCGGCCTGGAATTTCTCAGCAACCTTATCATACCGAACCGACACAGTCATCAATACTAGAACGTGTAAGATGTATGTGCTGAACGAAATTGTTATAAAATATGTGTAATGGTAGTGTTTATGTAATGATGCATTTGTAAAGATGTTTTTTTAGACATGACAGCGTAGATCAGTCTTTATTTTTAAGTTGATCGTTTTTCCTTATCTGACAACTTAAAGACTGATAACTTCAACTCTTATAAACATTTTACCTGATTGTAAATGGAGCAGACACATTTTTTCATAAATCATTGAATTCCTATCATGATCCAACTCCGGCAAATATGGGAATATGCTTTTAATGCTAGAAGTTAACTCTGCCGAGTTTACAAGATATGTTACTCCGAAAGACGTGGAAAGCTCGGGCAGGTCGCCGACGAAATACGGCGCCAAACTTAAAGCTTTAATCAAGCCTAATCCGAGCTATATGACTGAAGAAGCTCACCGTACGTCACCGGCAAGCCACATTTACAGAAACTTGTGAACCACAGGGAAGTTAGAACATAACTCTTTGCTGGCCGGCTTTTTTATGAGATGTAAATATTGGTGAAAAATAATACGTTCTAAAAACTTCAAAAGAAGGCTTATATTAAAGGAAATAAAAGATTCAGGTCAAATAGGAGAATATTTACCACTAACTGCTTGCTGTGGGCATTTTTAAAATAATTATGCAAATTTGTCACAAAGGAAGAAGTTAGCAGGTTAAAAATTCATTCAACTACTGTCCATTTAATTCTCATTAAAAAAATTAATTAGGCCCATTTTACAAAAATAAAGTTTTTATTAATTTTCTGTCTCCTTATAAATCGCAGGCTTGATATACGAAACTCATTAATAAAGATTAGATTCGGGTTTTTACCTCAGTTTATAAATTACCAGAATAACAGCACGCCACACAGTCATGCACGTTTAAAACAAACGCCTTTTAAATGCAGCTGATAACCTCTTGAAAACCTAATTGATTTTCAACATTTTGATTCAATTTGAGCAATTCGAGGTTTTTGAATTAATGGGAAAATCCGCAGCTGTCTAAGCAATGAAAATCGTATCAAAATAAATATTTAGGGTGATAATACTTCACTTTTTTCAATACTTAAAAACCTAAATCATTCCATTTTTTATGTAGGATACGAAAATAATATCCAGTATTGTACTAAATGTGTGGTGTTTACTGACCGTGAGTCAATGATTATTCGGAGATCGTGAGATGCGGTCTGGTGTGACGTAGGATTTAAAAAAACATTTTATTTATCGTGACAACGTTTCGATCTTTATTGAAATCATCTTCAGGGCTCAAAGTGTTTGTTTTCCGTGTAGATGTGTCGTTGTCTGTCGCGTTGAAAGTGGTTCTCAGCACACCCGCTTCCAGTAAAGAAGGCCGAAATATTTATTTCTATAAAAAAACGAATCTAATTCGTTTTAAGCACCCTTTAATTTCCTTACATACCAATTTTTCTACCAAACAAAATATAGTCATTTTTGAGCTGAATCATTTTCGGGTCAGCTGGGGCAATTTTTGATTCTCCGGTGTCTTGTTCAAATTCAAAATCCCTAACTCATACGGATTTAATCCAAATTCAATTTTATTACGACAGTTTTTAACCTGCATTTCTCTTCTTTCAATCTATGTCAACAAGGTTTTGATGTTCTGGCATTATATATGATGAAAATAAGAATAAAATCGACAAAAAACTTTTGAAACTTTTATTTTATATATACGTTCTTGATATACTTATGGAAGTAGGCTTGTGTCATAAAGGTGTAGCTTATATTAATGTAAAACATATCTTAGGATTTGTCGAGTTGTTTCAAAATTATCGTAATTTTTCTGATTAAAAAAAAAAAAAAAGGGTTTGGAAGTAAAGTATATGAATACATTTTTTTAAAAATAAACTTATATTCCGGGTTTTTCGCGTAAAAAATGAGTTTCGACTTTATTTTTTGCTAAAAAAAACCTACTTTGCATGTAAAATACAACGCTCTGTTGCAAAATAATGATGCATTGCATTTCAATGGTTACAAATTGGCTTGCCCAGATTCTTTTTGCGTCTTAGCTAAGTAAATTAGGCTAATTCATTTTTTGGCCAGTAACACTCTATATTCCTTTTAAACACAACGAAAAACTCCTGAATACGAAATTATGGGAAAATCAAAAGATACTTTTTCCTATCAGATTTTTACCTTCTAAATGCCTCTGATTTTTCGAAACAAACATGTCGATAACTTTGAATATATTAGAATCGAAGAAATAAACTAAAACGTTTGAGTAATTGTTTTGTTGATTTCATTCTTATTTTACTCGTTTATAATGTCATAAAACCTACACTTTGTCGACATAGCTTGAAAAAGTAAATATTCCGCTTTTTAACGGTACAAGTTATGAATTTTTAAGTCCGGCATACCGATCACCTGAGGCTAAAAATTGTCCCCAGCTGATTCAGCTCCAAAATGTAAAATGTATTGTAATTTTACTCGGTGCTTAAATAACAGATGATTTTTTTTAAATTATTTCCGTATTTTTTTTTTTTTTTTAGATAAAATAAAGGCATTCAATCATTTGAGGTATTTTCCGCCTTGATATCAATCCCAATGGCATTCACTGAATAGTAAAACGGGACAGACGAAAATCACGGAGCCGCCCGCACCGCCTGGCCCAGGGGACGAAAGACGTCGGACTTTTTTTTTTTTTTTTTTTTTTTTACTATACTTTCCGAGGGATGTGCAGATGCTGTGCCACACATCCACATCCCTCACAGTTCACTGACTTCGATTTCGCCCTTGTAAGTCCCTCCGAGGCACTTACGCCCCCCCCCACGATCGGCCACGCGATCTCGCACCCCGTCAATCCCGATCCCCCCAAGCTCGCACCATTGTTTTATTTCAATTTTATGGAATTAAAATTTATTTTTGTAGAAAGTGTCACTTGTAGTAAACTTACAAAGCTTTGTAATATCGTGTTATATTTTGGAAATTAGACTACATTACTTTACAACGGGGCTTTCCAAACTGAGGTCCGCGGCAAACTTCGAAAAAATTAACAATTGCAAAAATAATCGTAGAGTGAATAAATAAAATTAACATAAGTAGTAACAATGAGTACTAAAAACGAGAGTTTTTTAATTTGAAGCAGCCATTGTCTTCTCCACGGACATGCTTTAAGCCAGGAAAACACTTAGCCGATGCCATGCGACGCTACTTTTGGCGGGGTGTGCACATCTGCACACGTCGCGTACAGTCCACAGCGTTTATCACAATAATCACTATCACAATCGCAATGCATCTTTTGTTCTTAATGCACTATTTTGAGCAAAACCTTGTAACAAATTGTTAGTTAAATTTTATGAGCACAACCATCTAATAAATTGTTTGTTAAACTTAATTGTTTTAAATAAAGTTACTTCTAACCATCATAATTAAACAATGTTTATAAAAACTTATGCATTTTTTATCTCGTTTAATTTGGTTTACATTAAAATAACATTACAATAATTAATATAAAGACAAAACTACACGTACTTAGTTTGAAATAAACTACAAAAAATATGAGTGTCCTGTTCTGATGCTACCCGACATTACAAAATGGTGTAATTTTACGAGCAAAACTATGAAATAAATTGTTAATTAAATTTTATGAGCAAAACCGTGTAATAAATTGTTCCAATTTTAGTATTTTACGCCAATAAATTGTTATTAAATGCATTATATCAAAAAATCCTATTCCGGTGTTTTGATTAATTTTCTACCAAACCATTAAAATTAATTTTTTAAATAAAAACTAATTAATTTTTAATCACAGTTAATTTGGTTTATATTAAAATAAGTATGTTGTAATTAATATAACGTCAATAAGACATGTAGTTTGAATAAAAATATGAATGTCCGTTTCTTTTGTCTTCGACTGTACTCGATGCGACCCGACGAAAATCTGGACAGTCGGGATCGCAGAGCGTCGGGTAGATGTGCACGGGGGTAATGCAACCTTATGGAAAACTGTACTTTGGATTTGCGTCGGGTAGCATCGGGTAGCGTCGCATGGCGTAGCGTCGTGTAAGTGTGTTTCTGACTTTAGCCACAAAATAAATGGCAGCCTCTTTTAAGAAAGTTTGGATGAGTCTGTTCAAATTAGTAATTATATTAAGTTATATTGAAGTCAAGACTTTTCACAATACGCTATGGGACGCCTTCATCATTCCCTGCTTCCACATACATAAGTGAGCGGCTGCCTCACGATCACAGGAATTACGTTCTAAAGTCTTATCTTTTTTATGGACCACAATGTCAAATTGGCAAACGTTTTCCATGATGAGAAAAAGCAATGTATACTGTCGTGTTTATCTGATATTTTCGTGAAAATGAATGAGATGAATACTTCTTTCCAAGGGAAGAGTATCACAACTTTCAAAGCTAATGACAAAGTTCGCGCCTTCAAAAGAAAAATTCAGGTTGGACTGAATCTGTTGAGAAGGAAGAGAGGTAGGTGAGGCTTATTTTGACCTGCAGAATTGGCATATGTTAGTTTTAATTTTTAATAGCTGGAGACGGATGTCGGGTTCAGACATCTAGACAATTTCAGTATTTAGTTTTGGTGGCTGGATAGATAGATAGGATTCTCAGGACTCTGAGATTTTGAAGTCATTTTTATTCATCCAGTTAGTTACTTCATCCAGTGTTTTTTGAATGTTAAATTCCAGGGTCTCGATGTTTTTGTTCGTGCAGTAAATCACCACATGATCCGCGTATATCATACTACGAACTGGTAACTTTACGTGCCCAGAGACATTATTTAATGCTAGGCAGAAAAGTAGCGCACTTTGGTCACTTCCCTGTGGTACGCCGTTCTCTTGCATAAATTCTTTGGAGAAGGAATGCCGTATCTGACTTTAAAGCGCCTTGGTTTTAGGAAATATCCATTAAAGGTCAGGGTGTTTCATCTATTCTATAATTTGAAACCGCTCTGCCAAGAAGAAAGCAAAGAATTGTATTCCAAGATCCAGACCAACCTTTGGCTATTATCTTTGCTGTTGCTTTACATAATGAACATGTCAAAGATATGAGACGAAAACTATTAACTTTATGAGATAGTTTATTCTTTTTGAGAATAGGAATAGATGTACAGGACCAAATTTTTGAAAAAACTCCGAATAGGAAAAATTTGTTTAAAATTTCTACAACAATAATTTTATCGACTTGTCTGAAATTTTTTATCATAGCAAAACAAATATTATTTGGCCCAGAGGCAGTATCTTTTCGAGAATTCAAAGCTATTATAAATTCATCATATGAAAATGGTAGGTTTAGGGGATGATTTCTGTTACTGCTAAAAGGAATATTTGTCGCTTCTGCCTTTGCTTTTCTCTGTTTAATGTGGTCCGTATATTTATCTGTAGCTGACATTTTATAGAAGTGCTGCCCGAGGAAATTGTTTATTTCTTCTAGATTATTAATG